GGGGTAAACAGCGATACGTGTTGTAGCCTTCGATAAAGTGCCTGAGATTGCATAAAAAGAACCATGTCCTTGGTGAACCATAATCATTTTTTTAGCATATTTAATTGTTTCAGTCTATGATAATAGAGATGAGAATGAGTGCAATACTCCGACAAATACATTGGGATGTTGGCTACAACAATCAAGCATCCAAAATTCAGATTCGACCACATATTTATTACATGAATATTCTATCTTCCCATTTGAGCCATACACCCTTACTCTTCAGCCATATAAATATGTGAATTTCTTGTTTTTCATAGAACCAAATCTAGTAAAATGCTCTATAGAAACTATCTTTGTCCAAGAGCGTTATACATGCTTCATCTTATATATATTTGAGGTAAATTGCAGTTTACAAATTTGCAAGTGCTGGACACAAATAGACAAGCATGTCTTTAAATGTGTGTCACGCAAGTTATTTTTTATATTTTGAGAAAGTATCATACATACCATAGTTTCCAAGTAACATTAACTTCGTTGCCAAAGTTTGTGTGCATCTAGCTGCTGCAGGTGACAGTTACATGTCTCTTTACTGCATGTAGACATCTTGAATTGCAATCATGCTAGGAAGAAGCTTAATTTCCTAGAGAAGTTAAACCAAAATAGTTCAAGTGCAAACGGCCATAGATTTTCTTGCAAGCAGATGAAGCAGGCTTGACCTTGAAGGTTTAAGCTTACATCTAACGGCTACCCTCCTCATCCACTAACTCCCCCAAAACTATCCCAATTCCTAGAACTCAAATCTTTCAAGGTTGTCCCTACCATCCCTATCCTTTGCCAATATCTGGAAATTTTTGTCTAGAGACTGTAGAGTTATCCTCCCTTTCACATCTACCATTTCCTCCATCACCCCCCACCCCCAAAAAAAAAAAGGCCAACCAAATAAAAAATCCAACTTCTCAGATTCATCAGTGTTAGCCTCAGACAATTGTCCGCATGTTCTCCAGTCTTATGCTTCTTTTCTCATCTAAGTGTGTACAAGCACATCTGCGAGAATGAGGGTGTATTGTGTGTGATCGCACATAATTCTGATCTCAGCACCCACAACTGTTCCTCCACAAATTTTTACCCATTTTCAAATCCCCTAACCTTAAATGTACAGATCCAGTCCTCCTTTTCTTTTCTGCAAAGAAGCTCTTGAATTCAATTTTAAAAAAAATGTAGAAACCATCATATCAACCCATTAATGTGCTATTCTTGTGTAGATATACCCAATTCCAGCACATATCCATGGATCCGAAAGTGTAATCACTTGCAATTGGTAATCAATAATCACTTGCAATTAGTAATCAATCTCACTACATGATTGCAGGGTGTTTTGATCCAAGGTGTAGTCTCAAAAAACATGTATAGGCAATAAAGAAAAGGTGCATTAGAGTATAAGAAATACAAGCTCACTACATGATTCCAGGGTGTTTTGATCCAAGGTGTAGCCTCCAACAAACATGTATGTTGCCACCTAAGTAGCACAAAATATGAACTTTTCTTTATAGAGCAGAACCATCATATCCCTATGGCTTCCCCCACCCAAACAATCCAAATCTAACCTGATCCCTCTACTATAAGAACTAAGTTCAAATTTACATCAAACAAAGATTAATCTCCAAAACCCTCAAATATAATCAAATAACCAGGATCAAATTTTGATGCCCACCCTTCACTTCCCAATCAAAAACAACAAATGGGTTTCCCTCCAATCACTAAAAAAAGTTTACCCAATCATTTGAAAAGACAAATTTAAACCGATCGCTTACACTGTGAACCGTATCCCAAGCGAGCCAAACTGTAGAAAAGTGGCCCCAACCGAGCTTCGATTGGACTACGTAAGCTCCCTGCTTGAAGGAATCCCCAACTCGAACAGCGTGATAGCCTCCTCTTCTGTAGTCATCGGTTCCCTCGTCCTCCGAAGTGTAGTTGCTGCTCTCGCTTCGAGCGTCTTCCTCTTCCATTAGAATCGGATCCGGATCCGATTGCGGGGATCCGATAACGAGGGTTTTGATCTAGCGCGGATATTTGGGAAAGCTAGGGTTTGGTCTCTGAGATTTCGTCGTCTCTCTTTGCCTTCTTTAAGTTGCGGGGACACTGTGAGGAGATAGCAATCATAATTTGCTGGGTTTTTCCGAATTGGTCCCTCAGATCGTTGGAATTGTTTTTGGGACCATCAGGTCATACTTATTATTTCAAATTAGTCCTTAACTATATTCGCTGAGCGCCCAGTCATCCCCTGCGTTTATATGATATTTCAAGCTCAAAGTCAATTCTTTACACCTTTTTTAACCCCATATTTGAGTTTCTAGGCCAGTTTAGACCTGGTTCGTTAAACACAGTTCTACAACCGAAAAAAAAAATGTTGGAATTTGGGACAAGAGCGATTAGTTGAGGGTAGAAATGTACTTCACTAAGTATGGTTAACAACTAAGCGTCTAAGCCAACAGGAGTTAGCAATTTAGATGGAACTACCATGGGCTAATTTGAAATAGGGGCAAATTACACTAAACCCCAAGAAGTTTCAGTATTTGGAAATAAACTCCCTATAACTTTCAAAAGCGTGCTACACCCCTAGTAACTTATGGAATTGAAAACAAACCCTAATAAGTTTTCGTTTTTGCCAGAAAACACATAAATTAGAAACGAAAAACAACATAAAAAGATATTTTAAAATTTATTGGGAGTTTGTATAATTGAAAACAAACCCTAATAAGTTTTCGTTTTTCTGCAAATGTTATTGAGGAGTTAGCGTGATTTTGAAAGTTAATGGGGCTTTTACTGCAAAATGTTGAAAGCTCCTGGGGTTTTGTGTAATTTACCCTTAGAAGTAGAGCGACTCTAACGGGGCTGCAAAACTGGATTTTGCAACCCCGTCTCACTCCAATCGGCTTGCATCTCCGGCTGCAAAATGTAGCCGGAGGGAATGAGGCTACAAATATACAACCTCTTTTCTATAAATATACAGTCTCTTTTCTAAAATTACAGTCGGCTACAAAAAATTTCTAAATATTCACTTTGCCCTTTTAATGATTTATAAACAATTACTTATTACTTCCATATCATTTTTAATTAGTAACTAGTAATTTAAAATCAACATAAGTTTATTTCTACTAATTATTTTTAAATAAAAATTTTACAGTTGGAAATGTCTTGTCAATACCTTCAAAATGAGACTAATATTAAATTATATTAATTGAAATATAAAATTCTAATAACCAAGTAATTAAAAATAAAAATGTATTAGAAAATTAGATGGAAGATAAACATACTAATATTGAAATACATCGAAACTTTAATTAAAAAACTTACATCGATTTATTTCCATGTCTTTCCCACAAATGCTCAATCAATGCATTTCGAAGTGCAAAATGAGCTTCTTTTTTTATCAACCTCTTATGTCGAGTAAGGAACCGTTGGAATCGTTCAGTTTCGGTTATCTCTATATTTTGAACATTCGGGATTGATTGTGAAGTTGAAATGACAACATCTTCACGCTCGTCGCGTTCATCTTCGACAACCATATTATGCATTATAATACAAGCAGTCATGATATCGTGCAAAGTTCGTTTATCCCAAAAACGGGCTGGCCCTTGATGATAGCAAATCGTGATTGGAGAACACCGAATGCCCACTCCATATATTTTTGACATGCTTCTTGCATCATTGCAAAATATTGTTTCTTTTTATCATCGGAATTGGAAATTTTTTGAACAAGTGTTGACCATTTCGGATATATGCCATCGGTCAAATAATAACCGACATCATAATTTTTTCCTTGAATTGTGTAATGAGCAGGAGCAGCAATACCTTGTGATATATTATCGAATAAATTAGACGACAGCGATACATTAATATCCTTAATGGATCCTGGTAAGCCAAAGTATGTGTGTCATATCCATAGATCATATGATGCTACTGCCTCAAGAATAATGATTGGACCTCCATGACGTCCCGAGTATTGTCCTGCCCATGCTGTTGGACAATTTTTTCATTGTTAATGCATACAGTCTAGACTTACCAATATTCCTAGAAAACCTCTTTCTTTGCTCTTTTGCAATAACCTTGCAACATCATCGACATTGGGGGTCCTCAGATATTCATCTCTATATACTTCTATAATTGCTCTGCAAAATCTCTTTAAATATACAATTGTAGTTGACTCACAGATCCTAACATATTCATCAGTACTATCTGCTAATGTTCCATACGCCAACATGCAAAATACCGTTGTTACTTTTTATAAAGTTGATAGCTCAAGTTTGCCGACACCATCCATCTTCTGTACCAAGAAGTTGTCATGCTCACGTACCACATCGACTATACGAAGAAATAAACTCCTTCGCATCCGGAACCTTCTACGGAATAGATTTTCATCATATGTAGGATTATCAGAAAAATAGTCATTATAGAGTCGAGAATTACCTTCTTCCCTCCCGCGATTGATCATCAAATGATCAGGAACTGAGCCAATACGCTTTGGTCGTTCTGCCTCTTGAGAGAGATAAGTCATTATTTTATTATTAGAGGCATATACACGAGCTAAGATTTCATCTTCCTTCTCCTATTGCGTCATATCTTCCTCCCAATCTTTAATGTACTGAGAAAATATTTTGTCGTCGGAAGAAGAAGAAAAAAAAGAAGGTACATGTGAAGGTCCGGCTCCATAGTTCATTGTTGAAGAAGTTGTTTATAGAAATAAAAATATAAGTTGTGAGTTGTTTAGAGATGGGCGTAATATCATTATATAATATTTCTCTCCGCATAGAATTCTTTTCAGCACTAGATTCTCTCCAGCATTGGATTCTCCTGGTGTTAGAGACTCCCCATATTGGATTCCTCCGTGTTGGAGACTCTCCACATTGGATTCTCCTGGTGTTGGAGACTCTCCATATTGGATTCTCCTGGTGTTGGAGACTCCTCACTTGGATTCCTCTGTGTTGGAGACTCCTCACATTAGATTCTCCTGATGTTGGAGACTCCCCATATTAGATTCTCCTGATGTTGGAGACTCCCCACATTGGACTCCTTTCGTGTAGGAGACTTCCCACATCTGATCCCTATATAATACTTGTATAATTTTTATATCTCCACCACAACTCTTCTTATTCTATATTCATAACTCTTTGCATCCCTCCATCATAATAGTATCATCCTCAACAACTTTATCTCCTTAGATTATAACATCCAATCACGAAAAATCTTTTTTACAAGAAGAAGACCAAATTTTATGCGCCACGTGACTCAAAATTTCTCAAGACTCAGTCATGGGTTCTAATCAAAAGAAGGACAAGCTGTGGGAATGAATTTCTACTTTATTTCATGAAAGGATTTCTAATATTTGTACTGCTCAAAGGACTCTGAAGTCTCTCTCATGTCGAATGCAATTAACTATGAAGGCCATCAGTAAATTTCGAGGATGCATTAGACAAGTCGAGCGCCTAAATCCAAGTGGTGCTTCTGAGCTTGACATTGTAAGTATTTGAATAATAAAAATCTTGATTATCATCTATTATCATGTTATTAATACTTGTTTCTTTCTCTCTCGTGGTAGATTAAACGTGCTAGGATAATATTTTTAGAAGATCCAGAAGTGAGAAAGGAGTTTTTATTTGATCATGTTTGGTCAATTTTAAAAGATGCAGAGAAATGGGCAAATATAAGTGTCAGATCGCCTACAACTTCCAAAACTTTAAAGTCCCACTCATCTCAGGGATCAGATTCAAGTTCTCTTATCATCGACTTAAATGACGATAATGAGGGATATACTTATAATGACGACAATATGTTAACAAGTCGGCCGACAAGAAGAAAGAAAGAGAAGATGAGGAGGCGACAAGCAATTGAAAAGAACATGGACTTTGAAACTCTCAATAAAAGTAATCAAGAAATTGTTGATATTAAAAAAAAGTCATGAACAACGAGAAAATGATAGACTGACAATGCACCAGATTATGATGTTAAGGGCCGAAAATGGTAAGAAAAAAATTAGATCTTCAAAGAGAATGACAGGAAAGTAAAATTATGTTAATTAATCTTGATACTATTACCGATCCTTCGGAACACAAGTATTTTTGAGTTAAAAAATAAGAGATTTTAAATAGAAACACAACTGAAGGTTCTTCATGATATTCCTAATCCTGAAAATAGTTATGCAGGAAGTTAATACGGAATACCTGACTACAGAAACGGTAGATATGGAGGAAATGACATGCCCGATTTTTATTTTTTTCATGTACTTTATTTTTCTATGTAATGCCGCTGAATTTAATATATAAAATTTTATCACTTTTTTGGCAAATCATAACTCATTATGGAGTGAGAATTGGACTTCGGAGTAGCTATGAAGATTGTTCCAAATATTATGCTATATTTTCTGGACTTCGGAGTAGTTATGAAGATTTTTCTGGTCTTTAAAAGATTGTTCCAAATATTATGCTATATTTTCTGGTTTTTAAAATTTAAAGGCTCTTATCTATTTCTTATTATCAATTCATTAAATATAAATAATTTTATTTAAATATACAATTATATTATATATTAAAATTTAGTATTAATTTATAATATATTTATATTTTAAATTAATTCATATAATTTTTTTATCATTTTATATTTAGTATATATTTTCAAAATCATTTAAAGTAATATATAAATAATCATTTAATAATATATATTTTACAGATGAAGTTTTATATAGAGGAGAGTGGTTGGAGTGCCCCTCCTCTAAAAGAGAATATAGAGGGGTATATTTTTTTGGGGAGGCGTTGAAGTTTCTCTTACGGATCAGATTTGAGGAACCAGCTAGCAATTTTAATGATTTGAGGGCTAATTGAGAAATATTAAAGATTTAAGGTTCTTGTATTTTATAGCTCAAATTTTATTTTAGAACTTCTTTGTTGCGCATATACTACGATAAATCTGCAAATTTAGAATATAGCCTGTATAAAGTAAAATTTTACAAGGATGAAATTTTGGATATGGCGGATGTACAATGTTGGATCTGTGGTCCGACCAAACCCAAGGCCTACCCAATGTGAACCCCAACCAAATTGGTTCTTGTCAAAATCTGGGAAAACCCGAACCTGATCTCTGA